AACCCACACCCGGCCGTAGCTATATATAAGTATCTCCCGACTGAAGTCACCAACCAATGCCCGGCCGAAGCCATATAAATATCTTCTACCCGTAGGCACTACAACCCCTGGCCGAAGCCAATATAAGTACCTTCCGCCTGAAGGCACTACAACCCCCGGCCAAAGCCAATATAAGAATCTTCCGTTCGTAGGCACAACCCTCTGGTTGAAGCCAATATAAATGTATCATTTGCCCGTAGGCAGGACCATTCGCCCGTAGCCAGTAACATATGCCCGTAGGCAGGACATTCGCATGTAGGTAGATCATTTGAATAACCACTAAGTAAGTACATAAGAACATTACCATAATATTTTTAATATATGTGGATATATATATATATATATATATAACTATCTTAATCGTAGCTCAGTAGCTAAAACGTCATATCATAAAACCACGTTCACAAGTATGTATATAGTCATCAATCATATATACCACAAGGAACGTAAAGTCGATAAAGCATGATATTGATAAAGCATGGTAACTAATTCACTCATAAACGTTGCATAAAATGTAGTCATAAAATCATGTTTTTCATGTATGCATTTCTAATAGTAAAATATGCATTTTGGAAGGGGTCCACTCATCTTACACTGTTGGCGAAGAGCCGTGCAAACAAGAGAGGACGGAAACGCCATAAACAATTGCACCTAAACACATAATGGTACCAATTAATAAAACTATATCATAGCGATTGAATTTCAGGAAACGGACGTCATAAACGAATTCAGAACGTTGAAAAACATAAGGTGGACCTCAGATACCCCCACTCCTTGCCACGGGGTGGTGGCCCTGACGGCCACATGCCATTTTGGGTTACCTAAAAAGTCACCGGCAACAGCGGTGGAGCACAGTACCTTTGGTGGAGGTGTGTGTGCTCTACGCGCCAGCAAAAGCAGGCACCCACGCTCGCCCACGCTCAGGTCCATGCGCGGCCTACGCACCAACTGGGTTCTATGTTTGGGCCGGTTCAGTACTGGGTTGGGCTTGGTTCATGGGCTAGGGCCATTTAGGTTTGGGCCAGGCTTACATGGCCCAAAGGCTTAGGTTGGGCTCAATGGGTCGAAGGCCTTGGGTTGGGTTTTAAACCTAGATTTGGTTATGGTTTGGGCCTGGGTCCGGAACTTTGGGTTGGGTTGATCCGGTTTTCAGGCCGGATTCGCGAATGAGGAAGCCGGAGCTTTCCAAGCTCTGTTCAACCCCCAAACCTAACTAAAACAAGTCATGCAATATACCAAATTAAAACCCAAGGAACAAGGAAGAGATTCGTATTAATTTCAAGATGTGAGGTGGCCGAAGTTGGCCGGAAAACGCTCTAAAACCCATGGGTTCTCGCTGGAAACTAGGAAGGGTTTCCCGAGGTGTTCTTCGTCCAAAAACCACAAAAAAACTACTCAGAGACCTCTCAAAATCACTCCTAAATACGATCAAAGAGGTTCTACGAGCTTACCATGATCAGAGGTGGTGGAGACTTACCGGTTTTTCCTTTGTACCTTTGCACCGGTTCTCGTGGTGTCCAGGTTCTGGAGTCGTCACACACAGATAAGGGAGAAGGACAAGAGTGGTGAGGGAGATCAAAGAGAGATAGAGAAAGTTGGTATATGTGTGGGTGTGCAAGTTAACCTCAGGGAGGGTTTGGTGCAGCGAGAGGAAGAGGGAAAGAGAGAAAATGGAATCTATCAAGCCAAGTCTCAAATAGTGCCATACACAAACTGAAAATAAAAACTATCATCGTAACTACTCCAAAAGAGATCAGTGCAAAATCTAATCATTTAGAAACCACAAATCAAAAGAACGCAACACGTCTTTCAAGATCTAGATAGTTTGTTTAAGACTAACCAACAGTCTGCAAATAAAAATGCAATACAAGACAAACAAATTAGTACTCAAAGCCTTCACGATAACTTCACAGAATTTAGAAATGGAACACGCATCACTAAAAGGTACAAAAGTGACGACACACTGAAAACCAGAACCATGTGATTCACAACCCCCCGACTGAAGCTAATTAAATGTATCATTTTCCCGTAGGCAGGACCATTCGCCCGTAGCCAGTAACATACGCCTGTAGGCAGGACATTCGCTTGTAGGTAGATCATTTGAATAACCACTAAGTACATAAGAACATTAACATAATATTTTTAATATATGTATATATATATATAACTATCTTGATCGGAGTTCAGTAGCTAAAACGTCATATCGTAAAACCACGTTCACAAGTACGTATATAGTCATCAATCATATATACCACAAGGAACGTAAAGTCGATAAAGCATGGTAACCAATTCACTCATAAACGTTGCATAAAACGTAGTCATAAAATCAAGTTATTCATGTATGCATTTCTAATAGTAAAATATGCATTTGGGAAGGGTCCACTCACCTTACACCGTTGGCGAAGAGCCGTGCAAACAAGAGAGGACAGAATGCCATAAACAATTGCACCTACACACATAACGGTACCAATCAATAAAACTATATGATAAAAATTGAATTTCGGGAAACGGACTTCATAAACAGATTCAGGACGTCGAAAAACATAAGGGGGACCTTGGGTACCCACGAGTCGCCACACGCCATTTTGGGTCGTCGGCACTGCCGTGGACGGCGGCAGAGCATATTACCTCCTGTGGAGGTGCGTGTGCTCCATGTGCCGGCCAAGGCGCACGTGCTCCTACGCGCAGGCCCACGCGCCCATTGGGTTTTGTGTTTGGGCCGGTCTGGTTCTGGGTTTTGGGCCGATTCAGTTCTGGGTTGGGCTTGGTTCCTGGGCTAGGGCCATTTGGGTTTGGGCTAGGCTTACATGGCCCAAAGGCTTGGGTTAGGCTCAGTGGGCAGAAGGCCTTGGGTTGGGGTTTGAGTCTAAATTTAGTTATGGTTTGGGCCTAGGTCTGAAACTCTGGGTTGATTCAGTTTTCAAGCCGGATTTGTAAAGGAGGAAGTCAGAGCTTTCCAAGCTCCATTCAACCCCCAAACCTAACTAAAACAAGTCATGCAAGATACCAAATTGAAGCCCAAGGAATAAGGAAGAGATTCGTACCAATTTCAAGACGTGAGGTGGCCGGAAAATGCTTTGAAACCCACGGGTTCTCGCTGGAAACTGGGGAAAGTCTTCCCAAGGTGTTCTTCGTCCAAAAACCAGAAAACTACTCAGAGACGTCTCAAAATCACTCATAAACAAGATCAAAGAGGTTATAGGAGCTTGCCATGATCGGAGGTGGTGGAGACTCGCCGGTTTTTCCTTCGTACCTTTGCACCGGTTCTCGTGGTGTCCAGGTTCTGGAGTTGTCACATGCAGATGAGGGAGAGGGAGAAGTAAGGTGAGGGAGATCAAAGAGAGGGAGAGTTGGTATGTGTGTGGGTGTGAAAGCTACCCTTAGGGAGGGTTGGGTGCATCGAGAGGAAGAGGGAGAAAAAGAAAATGGAAATGGGGCCGGGGACAAAATCAGAGGGAGGGCCCTATATGGCACACCATTTAAGGCCATAACGTCACATTTCAAACAAATATCCTACAACCAAAGTGAAATTACCAAAATACCCCTTTCATTTAGTATGCAGAAGGACGGGACGGAATGAAATGGGAAGGGATGAGACGGGACGGAATGGAACGGAATTGAGAGGGATCAAAGATGCCCTTGGATGGAAACAAGGAGGAAGAAGAAAGGGACGAAGATGTTATAATTTTGTGTTCCATGGATGTGGAACGAGTCGTTTCAGGAGGGTGAGGCGGAACGAAAATTCATCCAAAATTCGTCCCGTGGAACAGTATGTTCCACCCGTTTTAGATGCACCAAACGTGGGACGAAACGCCTCGTCCCACTTCGTTCCGTCCCGTTCCACGTATCAAACGGTACCTAAATTCCAGGATGGGTTGTTACGATTCCTTTCCCAATATTAATTGGTTAATTGCAATGGCAATATCCCACTTTAATCAGCATGCCTCATATTTATTGAAAATTACTGATATATATATATATAATACGGTGACTTGCAAGGGTGAACATTCTTAGTAAACCAGATCATGTCTTTTTACAAATGTATTTAATATTTATTTATGTTATGTATTTGTATTAAACAACAAATATTATTTGATGTGAATTTATATACTAAAAATATAGAAAAGGGAAGTGTTATTGGCACTCCAAAAATCTCATTTTACACTCCTCATAAATGTATTTTTCTTTACTAATATATAAAGTTTGGAGTGTAGAGTGAAATTTTTAGTGTGCTAATAACAATTTCCATAGAAAATCCCTAATCTCAAAGTTTACCGAGGAAATTAAACTCTAATATATATTCAAGTAAAGTCAAAGAAATTAATTAGCATGTCTCACACATGCAAAGTTGCTAAGTTGCAAATCTCCTAATCTGAAACTTAATTTGATAAAGCAGGAATACCCTTTAATTGATTAAGCTTTTTTTCTAACCGTGGTTAGCTTCTTTCTAACAATTTTCTGACCAAAGAAGCAATACCATCTCAAAATTCGCTCCACCAATTGATTGGAGACCAATAGTGATGTGGCTATGATGACCTCATTTGATACTAACAGATGTAATTTCCGGGAAGCACTGCAAGCTTTGGCCATCAGCATCTTTCTATCTATGAATTGAAAGGTCAGCTAAAGACTTGTCTTAATATTGACCAAAAGTCCCTATAAATACAATAGAGATGTAAGCTTCTTAATAATTCCTTTCACAACATAATAGAGTGACATAAATCGCCCACCACTAAAAAGCACCGTTGAAACTCTGGCGTTGCTTCTCTATTATCTTAAGATCGGTACTTCTTCGAAACCAATCCTCTTTAGGGTTCATCGGCATCCAGTCACTCCATGTAAGTAAACATTCAACCAGTTTCTCTCTTGTAAGTTATTTTACAGGCAATTCAATTGCAGGCATCAAAAGTACAAATATGCCAAGTTCTAGTGAGTGGGGGCAATACTACCAACAAGCCCTCATGGATAATGGGCAGAAAACAACACCCATTAGTGGAGGGTTTTCTGATTCCACTATTGTCACAACAAGTAGCCATACTGTGACAGAAATCAGCCCCAGCAGCCCTAGTGGGGGCCAGCGCACGCCAACAGGAACTGTGTCAAAACCCATCAGAAGGAGGTCTAGGGTTTCAAAGAAGACGCCCATCACCCTCCTCAATGCCAACGCCAACAACTTTCGAGATTTGGTGCAACAATTCACAGGTTGTGCTGCTTCTAGCACACCCCTTTCCTTTGGGAGCCAAAAGGGTCCGATCAACTTGAATTTTGGATCCAATAATAACGTGACTAGTTCTGTAATGGCACCTTTTGACAATCATAACTATAACTACCAGTATCATCAACAGTTGCAGCGGTTGGCGCAGCCGCCGCTACAAGTACAGCAACAACAACAACGACAACCGCTGCTACAGTTGCAAGAAAACCAACACTTACATCAAGGGGAACAACAAATGTATCCGATTGACAATGTTAGCGGTAGTGGTAACGATGTGTTCCAATATTCATCGACTAGTGTTAATTATAATCCTATGCAAAGTGTGGAGGTTGTGGATGGTTTTGTCATGGATCAGGAAGATATAGCTTTGCATGAATTTTCTAGGGAATTTTTCTCCAGTTAGAATAAAGTACTACATATTCATGACTAGGTCAAATAAAAAACAAAAGCAATGTAAATTTCTCTTTGATTATTCGTTAATGTTTTATGCTGTAATATTAGAATAATGAAGACATCATTTTCAAATGTTGCTCATATATGCACGATATACTATTACTTTATTTTCATTTTCTTAATACAAGCGGTAGGGGATCGGACACTTGTATAATGTGCTTCCGTAAATAAATGCTCTTAACACTAGCTGTAAATTCTTTCCATGGTATGTCCACCATTTTTTTTTTGGGGGTCCAAAGGTAATAATTCATTACCACAACAAAAAAAAATATTTACAAATTGGGATCCAATTACAAATAAAGTCCAATACTAAAATTTGAATCCCCCAGCAGGCCCAACCAAACGGATGAGTCAAAGCAAAACAAAACAAAAGCCAAAAACCCTAAGTACTCAGCCGCCGCCAACACCGCCGACCACGAACCACTGCCTCTTGCAGGCACCAGAATCCACCCAAAAGAAGCCTCCAAATCGAAAATCAAGAAGGTTCCACCCGTCTCCATCATGCCCCAACACTCAAATTTGCAGCCATCCAAAGAATGAAACTTGCAGGAAAAACCTCCCATAAGGAATCGTGCCAATGAAGGCATACAAATGGAAGGTGGTGGTGTAACCACCTGAGCAAGAGCTCTACACACCTTCCAAGATAGAAGCGAGATGCGGTTAGAGAAAATGGTTGTAGAAATGAGAAGTAGTTGGATCGAGAAGGGCCAAAACCATTGGGGGTAAGTAGAGAAATGGTTGAAAGGTGACATGGATGTTAGATAGCTGCATGAGAAGAGAAAGAAGATGGTCGGGATTAGGGATGGGCAAAATACGCAAGGGTTTGGGTAACCGCGGATACCTGCCCATTTAAAGTTTACGGTTACGGTTATGGATAACCGTTTAGACAAACAAACGGTTATGGGTATAAGCGTTTATCTATGAAATTTAAATGGACGGTTATGAGTATTACCCGCGGTTATAACGGGTATCCATTTACCCATTTATTTTTGTTTTTTACTTTGGAGTTATTGGTGATACTAATTCAATTTATGCATATGGGTGTGTGAAAAATCATGGAATGTAAACCTTCTGATTATGCATATTGATGAATGGTGATACTAACTCAATTGATTTGGATTTGGTACTCCGCTTTTGTTTGCCTTTATCTTTCTTTTTAAAAAATATTTTTTATGATAATTGAGTGTACAATGTAAACCTTGTGTGATCACTTACATCTGTTGAATTTATGTTAATTGGTGTCGGTGTTCCTAAATGGGATACTACTTCAATTTATACATTTCTTTTGTAGGCCTCTTTTGGTGACAACTACGAGTCGATAAAATTTTGTGATTGAACGTGCTAAAGCATTAGTGTTTGAAAGTGTTTAGTTTCGAAATATTTTGAAGCTTTGAATCATCTAGTATTCAAGTTAATGACTACTCTTTGTTTTTAGCCGCTTTACTTTGTAATCATATGGATTATAATTAAAGACTTGCTTGGGTATAGCAGAAAAATATCGTTTGTAAACTATTAGTTCAATTATTAGAATTGTATGAGGACTTAAATGATTAAAATACGGAAATGCATGCTAAAATAGACCTATAACGGTGTTTAATTGTTAGAAAATGAAATTATGACAAATTTTTCTTTTGTAATTTTTAAGTTGTTAAAAAAAACATGTAGACGGGTGAAAAAATGGGTAAATGGGTAAGAAAAAGGATAAACGGGTTCAAAAACGGGTAAACGGGTAAATGATTATGGTTAAATGGGTATACGGTTATGGGTATGGTTTACCGTTTATAAACGGTTATGGGTATAGGTATAACCGTTTATGCAATTACCCAACCGGTAAACGGTTATGCGAGTATGAATATAAACATTTATGAGTAAATAACCGCAGTTACCCACCCGCCATAACCGTTGCCCATCTCTAGTCAAGATGAAGGAATTTCCGACAAAGGCGAAAGTTCCACTAGATCTGAGGCAAGAGGAGGAAGAAGGAAAGGCCGAAAACAGGGAGCAACAAGGAAAACTGAAGAAAAATAAGAGAAAAAAAAAATAGAAGAAAAAAGAAAGGACTGTCACCGACCTAGGCCTTGTTAGGGCCGGCGGTTGAACGGAGAAGAAAGTTCCGGTCACTCACACAAGGATGAGAAACACTCTCGGTTTGAGAGAAATAGTCTCACCGAAGGGAGATAAAGTTTTGAACAAAGCGCTTAGGGGACTTTGAACCATTATTTTGGTGTGGAGGAATCCCATGCATTCTCAGCAAGGAGAACCTAATTTATCGAATATTTATTATATGTTTGTGTGTGTTTTAGTTTGTATAAAGTTTTACAATATATACGGCTTATTAATTTATTACCCCTTAAAATTATTATTTAGTCTCATTTTACATACTGAACTACTTTTGTCCTACTTTGCTCTTGAAAACTTACAATAAAATGGTTGCTCTTCTCTAGCTTTATGATGAATTGCCATTGTCACTAAGAAGATTAGTCGTCAACTGAACTCAATGATTGGATTTGCAAGCTTAAATACCTTTCTCCTCTTTCACTTAACCTTAATTTTTTTTCTCAACTTTTCTTGCCACAATTCACATGCGGTCTGGCAAATATGTGGTGATTTACCAAAATTCCCATGTAAGTGATACATCACCAAGTATGGGGCTTATTCTGCTTGTGTGAAAAATAAAATGTCCGAACTACGTTTTGATAAAACAAATATTTGACAGAATTGACAAAAAATGGGGTGATCCAAGACTAAATGAGACGAAAATGGCAATTTCAGTGGACAAAGTGAGACAAAACTAGTTTTAAGACTTAAAATGAGATTAAATGGTAGTTTCATAGGGTAAATTAATTAATAAGCCTATATAATATTTTTTTAGAAGGGAAATTTAACGAAAAACTCCTGTTATTGTTCACTTTAACGAAAAACCATATTTTAACACTAAAAAGTCAATCATGATACTATTCACTTTACCATTTATTTTGTCTTTATCGTTAAAACTCAAAGTTTTAAAGTCTTTTTTATTTGTTTTCTTTTTTTAGAAGGGGTCAAGCAAGTAAATGCTCTAGTTAATGCATGTTAATTACAATATTTCCTTTTCCTTATAGCAAGTCACAGCAATGTAAGCACTGAAACTTTGAGATAAAGAAATAATACCTAATTAGCTTTTAAAAAATTGGATTTGATGATCCGTTTAGCTTCAACATGAACTAATCAAATCTTGGAGGTTCCAAATTCCAATGTTCCACTGTTCCTGTTGATGGTGTGCTGTAGTGGTGTGCTAATGCTGCTGCAATAATTTAACATTTCCACTGTTGATGGTGTGCTGCAGTCCTAATGCTGCTGCAATAATTTAACATTTCCGCTGCTGCAATAATTTAACATTTCCACTGTTGATGGTGTGCTGCAGTCCTAATGCTGCTGCAATAATTTAACAGTTCCACTGTTGATGGTGTGCTGCAGTAGTGGTCTGCTAATGCTGCTGCAATAATCTATTTAGTCACGATCATTGACTAATGACTATTGACTTGTAAGATAGTAGAGAGTGAAAAAAGGGCGAGGGATCTGGACAAGAAAGTGGGCTGTTGTTTTGTTAAGGACCATTTTATTGTAAGAAATATTAGTATTCTGCAATTTGGGTTTATCCATAATAAAAAGCCGATCGACTCTCACTTGGTTGACCAAGAATCTGAGCTTGCTGATCGACTCGGTAGTTGGTCTATATGCGCCAAGTGTAATTCAATTTCTTGTTTCTTTGCCCCTTTTTAAAAACTTAGGAAACATTCTTCCTTTTGCATTTAACCTTACACTTGCTTAAAAATTATGTTACGTAATACGCTCTAAAATCATCTATATTCAAAATTTTTAACCATTAAGTTATTCATCAACAACACACTAAGTCACCAAAATTTAAAATCCAAAATCTTTGAAGTATAAATATCCAAAAGATACATTTCAGGATTTTTTTGGGTATATATACCGATGCCATTTAAGGAATATGTAGGATGTAGCCTTGTTTAGTTGGACTGGTTCCAGTCAATATGCTCTTTCCGAAGCGGTGTAGGGAAATTCCATCCAAAAGCCGTCAACCAAATTGGACTGATCAGATCAGATTTCCAAGTTCCTTTCCTTCTCAAATAGGTTGCTATAATTAGCTTCAAAGACTTGATGGTCACGGGTCTTTGTCTTATAATTCTAAACTGATCTGTACACATTTGCCATCTTTCAACATGCATGCTTTTTGAAATTTCCAAGCATCACTAATTAAACATTAAAATTCATGGTAATATATTTGTCAGAATGGACAAGGTGGTTCATGAGAAATAATCGGAAGTCTCCCTTGTGAGGTCTTCTGTAATTGTTATTTGACTTAGCTGCTCTTAGAAGTAACCTAAGTTTTAGCCTTTAAACTGCTGTACTGGTTACTCATTCATACAACAAAAGTTGATTAAGACATTGTGTTCGTTTCTTTATATTAAATTTTAAGTCTATTTCTTGATATAGTAGTTTGAATAGTTGCTAATCTAATTTGTTAGGACAATGTATTTATTGTAAGCAGCATGAGGTTTTAAGTTCGACTTTTACGAATAACGAATTTTGACGTTAAATTATGTTTAATTGTCTGGCCCATATATCCATCTTCCAATATCATTGTATAAAAAAAATTGTAGTTCAAAATATAGGTTTGCGACAATTTTGGCTTTTAAACTAAAATGATCTCTAAGATTGGTATAACTTATCACTTTGGTTCTTGAGATTTAAAATCGATAGCACTTGTTTCTTAGTTTGTCTACCATCAATCATTTTGGTCGTTGCGTGAAAAATCTTTGTTAAATAAGGAGAAAATAACAAAAAAACCCTTCATTTGTCAACTCATTTTAGTCTATTGTTAATTAAATTGAGTGTATTTTTATCATTTTGATTTCTTATTTAACTGTGTATTTTTTCAACAGAACAACAAAAATGATTGATAGTAGACAAACTCAATGAGCACTTCTATTAATTTCAAATCTTAGAGATCAAAATGAAGAATTATGTCAATCTCATAAACTATTTTGGATAAAAAGCCGGACAAATTTTGATGTTAAAAATTCACGAGAAATTAAACTGTGTGAAGATGAAGTGCATAAAAAAACATCTAAGAAAAAAATTGAAAAAAAGGGGAAATGAGATGGGCTAAAAGAAGGGTAATAGGGTTGAGGGAAGCTGTTGGGCTCGGTCTCGGGTTAAGACCCGTTATGCAATGCGGTTCGCGGGCTTTTTGCTGCAAACTGAAAATACGAAGCCGCGAAGAACAGATGAACTCAGCAGAAAACTCAACACTCGAAGAAGAAGATTGAGAACTGAGGAGGTATGTGGGCGGCAACGGTCTCCTTCCCATGTTATGCATGCCCGAAACGAACTTCTCTCTCAAATCGTACGGTCGCCAAACCATTGAACCTCAGAGTCAGAGCTTCGTTCTTCGACTATCCTCTCGCAAGCAAAATCTTGGTTACAAGTATGGATTTTTATGTTTACTTCGTACAATTACTGTGAATTAGGTTGGTTTTCCATTTGGGTTTTCTTCATTATGTGAATTGTGGTAAATTTTGATTGATTTATCGGTGAATTTTGGTGTAATTCATGCAGTGGAGTGGCTCTTGTTCTGAGTTTTTACTGTTTTATCATCTGGGTTTTCTTAAAGTTTAATTTTTGATGCATTTTATTGATTTATTATTTAATTTTTGACATAATTTCTCTACTCAATTGTGTTTGGGAAGTTTTGTGTTGTTATCATTTGATTGGAAATATATTAGCTTGTGAACATACATTGAGTACAGTTTATTTGGATTGAGGTTAGCAGCACACACTCGAATTCGCTGCGATGATTCAAATGGAATGAGTGTAGGTTAGCAGTTAGTACAACTCAAGTTTAAGATGAGTGTGAAGATTATAAGGGAGTAGTTTAAGACTGATACAAATAGAATTTCCAGGGTGACTAATTTCATTGTCGTTGTTCAATATTTTTTAAGAGGAAACGGGATGAGAAGAGGTTATTGTTTACAAGAGGAAGTGAGGTGGTCCATTTTGCCTATTCCTGTACATGTGAAGTTAAGTAGGCACCGGCAAAGCCGGAAAAGTAAAATGATACGGCTAACACAGGTTGTTCATCTGTGTTTCAGATTCAGACATTAGCAACATTAGCTAGGATGATAGTTAACAAGGTAGCATTGAGAGTCATGGATGGACAATCTTCTTTGGAACATTGTTAATGGCTAAGCCTTTTGTGGATCTATAGAATATGATTAGGTTTACTTAAGCTGCTTCTAGGTGCGCAATTACTTGGTTCTCCATCCAAAGTAAGCTCACTACAAGCAGAGATTGTCTTGGCACTAACTAAATATCTCACTTGTGTTTTTTGCAATCATTGCTTGGAACGAAATTTAAGTACCATTTGCAGTTGTAGTCAACAATCGCAAGAGCAAGGAGTTGGTAGCAGCTGTAGCAATTTCTTCACTGAGGCCTCAGATCCTTGCATTTTATCATGTATTCTAAGTTTATAGCCTTTTTATGTACCATAGTATAGGTTTGCAGCAGCAGCTATAGCGAGTTAGTACTTCACAAAGATAATACCAGATAACCGAAGATCCCCAAAAATATAAAGATACTATGCAATTTGTCTTTAACTGTCCAAGTTCTAACTGTACTTGCTCACGGACATCATTCTTTTTTCTGCATTTTGTCCCTAAGTTTAAGAGGTCCCAACATTGATACTTTGTAAGCTGTGAATCTGCTTGATTGTGGACATGACACAAGTAGGGTAAAATTCCCAACCAGCCTGCTTCGGATTTGGAAGGGGTGAATAACTGTGGTTCGCCACTAGTTGTCTCTGTTTTTTTTTTTTAAATAATAATTTCACATGATCAATTGGTCTAACAGCACTCAGTTTTCACTTTGTTATGTATTAAATATTAGAGAAATCCTAAAAACACTCTAAAAAATGAGGCTATGAATCTCCTTAACATTTCCCTAAGAGCAACTCCAGCGGGAGCTCGTGCTCAAAGGATGGACTGCGGAAAAGGGCCTGATTGCCCGAGGGAGGAAGTCCAGCGTTGGCTGGCGAGCGAGCCCGAGCAGGCCCGAGGAAGAGGCCTGGTGATTCGTGCCGGCCCGAGCGCCCGAAGGCAATGTGACGTGGGCTGACGTCAGGACGACGTCAGCCATAATATAAAAGTAATAAAAATTAAAAATTAAAAATAAAAACCTAGGTTTCGAACTCAACGGCTCTCGCCGGAGTTCGTTGCCGAGGTTGATGATACAGCAACAGACAAATGGCAAAGACTAAACCCAAGGGTTTCAACTCGAAACACATAAAAAACCAAAGAATAACTCAAGCAATTGAAGTAGGGCAATAACCTCATTTGGGTTTGAGCAATGGAAGCTTGAAGCTCTCGGCTTCAATGGTGGATCACCCAAATGGTGCTCTGATGATGCATGCAAAGATATATTCAAGTTCCTCTCATCTAAGGGATTGAGATTTCAAAGTTTGTTAGTTTGATTTGCTTCGGTTTCAAAGAAGAGGAAGGATGAAAAGGAAAAGGAAGGATATATGGATTGGAATCTGAGCCTGTGCCTTGGCGTCGGTCCATTTTGTTATTCATATGAGAGAGAGAGAGAGAGAGAAGGAATAGGAAAAGGAAGAGTGTTGTAGAAAAAAATGAAAAGGAAGAGTGTCGTGGAAAAAGATGAAAAGGAAAAGTATGAAAAAGGAAAAAGGAAAAACATTTAAAATGATTTTGTATTATTTTATAAATAAAAAAATAATAATATTTTATCATCAATTATCAGGGCTATTTAGTGTAAAGGTAAAGATGCAAAAAATGATTACTGTTTATTAAGGACAGTTCACTGGGTAGATAACATAGTAGATAGCGCTAAGGGCCTCCACCACGCTGGAACTGCTCTAAATATTAAGTATAACATAGTAGATAGCGCTAAGGGCCTCCACCACGCTGGAACTGCTCTAAATATTAAGTTGTGACATATTATCTCCTCTTATGAGTAGATTAACGGCCGAAAAACAGTACTAACTGATTTTTGGATGCAGGGATAACCGTTAAGACAACAACAACGTTGGCGGACGGAGACAGATAACCATCATAGTTAAAGCCCGAACACTTGAAGAGAAACCAGCGTAGAAGGGTATTTGTACGTTAACTACAAAACTCCAAGTGTGTGGTCCTTCAGAGAGAGAGAAAGAGAGAGAGAGCGAGTGAGTGCGAGAGGGAGAGGCTGTGAAGCTCTCTATTTCTGTGAGAGAACCAATTTAGCAAAAAACCCCAAGAATTTGCAGTTGAGAGAGACAGAGAGTGATGGAGGAAGAGAAGCAGCAGAGTGTTGAGGAGGAGGAGCGTCCAGTGAGAGTGTATGCAGACGGCATTTATGATCTCTTTCACTTCGGCCATGCCCGTTCTCTCGAGCAAGCCAAGAAGCTGTAACTCTCTCTCTCTAGAATTCAACTGGGTTTTCATATTTTCAGTGAAATTACATGCTTTTTCTTGGATCTCAAGCAATTTCCCTGTCAAGGCTTGAATTTGTTTCGGGGTTTAACTGGATGTTTACTGTCTTGAAGATTGGTTAAGTAACATTTTTTAATTAATTCTCTCTTTGCTTGTGTCTGCCTTGGAATTCGAATTCGAGGCCAAAAAGTTTCTTTCCTTGTTCTTTGTTACTGTTAGTTGTAAATTTCCAAATTTGATAAGTTGGATGAAGTGTGATTTGGGTTTGGATTGTTTCGTTTATGTCTAAAATCTAGGTTTCCGAACACGTACCTGCTTGTTGGCTGCTGTGGTGATGAAATTACCCACAATTATAAGGGAAAAACTGTTATGACTGAGAAGGAGCGCTATGAATCGCTCCGCCATTGCAGGTTAGTTTATCAATTTGCCTAAAGTTTTTCACTTTGTTAGGTTAAGCTAAACACAGCGAAGGGTCGGATGGAAAGTACTTGTTAATCTTCTGCTTATTGCTGTTAAAACCTTTTTATGATTGCTTTGCATCTAACCAAAAATGTAAATTCGTAGTGTTGAAAACCATACTTTGCATCGTCACTCTCTCAGTTACCTACTTTACATTTCTCAATTGTTGTTCCTGAAGCATGGTGTTGTAATATATATGCTACAGATGGGTGGATGAAGTTATCCCCGACGCACCATGGGTGCTCTCGCAGGAGTTTCTTGACAAGCACAAGATTGACTTTGTGGCACATGACTCTCTTCCGTAAAGTTAACCAACCCCAAATTAATTACGATTTGCAAAATTTCTGTATCATCAATCTGATGCTTCTTCCTTGTCCTAAATTTGTAGCTATGCTGATGCAAGTGGCTCTGGAAAGGATGTCTATGAGTTTGTAAGTTCTGTTGATAACCGAACCCACGTGTTTATTTCCCATTCAGATCATTGTGGCCTTCTCTTTTTCCTTTTTGTATCTGTCAAGGTTTTATTTGTTCTCTGTACTGTCGTGATATAACCACTTAATATTGAGTAGATTAAATTCTGGGTGGCGATAGGAATAAACACTTACTGTCTTATATGCCCTGTTTTCTTCTAATTCTTGCTGTTAGGTTTTTGCTATTAATTTATATCCTCTTCTTCTAACTCCTAGTCTTTATCTGTCATCTTGCTTTGTTTCAGCCACTTATGCAGTTGTTTATCGGTAGTTTACAAGTGTGGATGCTTCCAGTGTGTTAACTTTTTGTAGCAGTTCTTATTCTGTCGATATGGTTATTCATCATTCTTGATTTTCATAAATGGCATGTTTTATTTTGTAATTGACATAAACTGCCACACAGGTTAAGTCCGTTGGTAAGTTTAAGGAAACAAAGCGAACTGATGGGATCTCTACGTCAGATCTCATAATGAGGATAGTTAAAGATTACAACCAGTATGTGATGCGTAATTTGGACCGCGGGTACACAAGAAAGGATCTAGGTGTTAGCTATGTGAGGGTGAGTTCTTGTTTATATGAATATCTCATGTTAATGTGATGGCTTGCTTTTTTGTTCTGGTGTGAAAAGTGATATCCGTCATCCTTATCTCCTACTATTAGGAAAAGCGACTGAGAGTGAACATGGGACTGAGAAGATTGCGTGAAAGGGTGAAGGTGCACCAAGAAAAAGTAGGAGAGAAGGTATGTATTCCATGATGCTTAATAATATTTCCTACCTTCTCATATGCATCATTGACTGGAGTATCTGAGATTGTAATCCAGCAGGCTTCAGTACCCTATACCGTTCCATTACATAATGTACGCGTTACCACAACTTACACCATATATGTAGTTAGTAACACGCTTCAATACCCTATACTTTTTGTATTGCTATCAGTTTGGAATTTCCTTTCATAACTGCATCATTGGTGTTTCATATACTAAATAGATTGGGTTGCATATATTTAGAAAACAACGCATGAGAGAGACCAACCATTTGTTAAGTCCAAAAAGAATCGGATACGTGTATTGCCTTTTTGGTCTGGCCTCTCCGAGGGTACCTTCCTGTACTTTTACTTATGGCCTCACTCTGTTTGCAATTTATGCTGCATACTTTTGCAATTAGAACATATTTTTATCTTCTTAACGGACTATTGGACTTTGACATCTCTAATCTTATTTGCTTCTGGCATCATTTTTTGTTTTCACATATTTGTTGATTATTTCCTTATGTTTGCACTCAGCTAGAGTGAACCTGTATTTTAGAAAACCTTTAGGCTTAGAAATACCAACGAGACTCAACCTGCGGACTTAAGTTCCCTGATAATATTGATAATCTTGGTTTTGCTGGGCCCTTATTTTTCATGCACTAGTAAGAGCACTTAGAGCTGCAGTAAACGTGTTTTCACTTGGAGCAGCAGTAAACGTGTTTTTGCTTAGGATTTTCGAGTCGTAAGTTGATTGATATTTTACTCCGATGTGAATGTGCAGATACAAATAGTAACACAAACTGCCACAATGCGTCGTAATGAATGGGTGGAGAATGCTGACCGGCTGGTTGCTGGATTTCTTGAGAGGTTTGAAGAAGGTTTCCATAAAATGGTGGGCTCTCTTTCCCTTATCTCAGTTTGTTATACCGCTTGTGTTTGTATGCATGAGCTGATTTGAACATAATCAGGGAAGATTTATCTCATTTTCTTGACTTGAAAACTTGTCCTGGCCTTCCATCAGGGAACAGCCATAAGGGACCGAATTCAAAAGCGAATAAGGAAGCAGCAGTTCAGAGGGCTTTTATATGAAGAAGAAGATGATGAATTCTATGATGACTCTGAAGAAGAAAACGAGGATGAAGACGAGAACTGACGTTGCTTCTGTTGCTGTCAATTAGGAGCTGAAATACTTGTCCGTTGTATTAATTAATGTAGAACTAAGTAAGAAGTCGATAGCATTAGATTCCTTGATTATATGACTTCAGTTTGTGAAACGGCCAAAATCAAGGCTTGGATTTTCAAATTCAATTATAGTATTCTGTCATTTTCGTTTCGGTAGGTGCTTGTTTGATGTAGTTGACACAAAATCTTTATGAAGATCACAGATTTCTGCGAAGTCGTTCGAGTTTCCACAAATTAACAACTTTTCATTTTTCGGTTTCTTGTTTCGGAATCTCTCACATCAGATGAGGGTGATACCACCATCACTACATAGGAAGCTTTTTACAGAATGCACCCACCAAAACCAAATGCTGGAAAGGTTTCCTTGCAAGTTCAGCAGAACGAAACTGGGACATGCCTTTTTCTTTTCTTCCTTCAGCATTCCTCTCACCTCGTTGAGTCTATCACATGGGGAATAAAGTGCAACGGCTTTGTCCTTGAGAGCTGAGGAAATTTTAGTGCTGGTGGCTAGTATTTTAACGCCATCAAGAGACATACATGTGCTACATGGTTATTATACGAGATGGAATGACTTTAAAGTTATTTGGAAGATTCACGATTGATAAAATAAAATCATATTAAAATCAATTGTTTTTTTATTTACCAACTGTTGTCCGTTCATGTTATTTGAACTTAGGACATCTTCCAATAAGACGGAGACTGAGTCTACAAAACAAGTAATCGTTGACATCGTATTTCAAACATAATTTATCTTTTACAAATAATTTGAAGTTCAGTTGATTAAAATCATCTAACCATTCTACTCGAGGTCCTGATTTAAATTTTAGGAAAACTAATGAAAATGACTTGAAAACTTTAAGTTTTAATGATAAGGACAAACTAAAGAGTAAAGTGAATAGTACCAGGTTTTTCGTTAAAGTGAACAGTACCATGAGCTTTTCGTTAAAACTCCCTTTAAATTTTTTTTCCTCAATATGACTCGTACAAAAGAGCAATTAACATTGATCTAATCGAGTAACTTTTAACTGTGTTGCACAACAGGAAAAAAGATATGCTGGAATCTGGACAAAGATTTGAAGGTCCCAAAAGTAAAGCTTGGATAAGTGTGAGGTGTAATTTTCATGTCTTTCAAAAGTATTGGTCCGCATTCACCCTGAAAAGAGAGCTGACATTTTTTTTATTATTTAAAGTCAATTAATAAGTTCATGTTTAACAGTTTACACACACACAAATGAAATATGGCAATAGCAAAAAAAAAAAAAAAAAAAAAAAAATTAGAACAATTAATAATATAGTTTGCATGCTACAAAACTCCTCCATTCTCAACTCCATGAGGAAAGAATGAACTCACAAAATAGGTTATATAGGAAGAGAAACTAGTAAAACCAGATACTAATATCGAACCCTAATACAAACTCATGAGTTTCTGCAGTCATATCCACTCAACTAAGCTCATGACTTCTCTGTAGTGAGTCTCTTAGGTTGTGACAATCTCAGAAAGAGAGGGCATGGAGTCACTGGACTTGAGCCTATGCCGGCAAGTCGGACACGAAGAGTGGCAGAGCAACCACTTGTCAATGCAGGCAACATGAAACCGATGGTTGCACTTGGGCAGCACCCTTAACTTGTCCCCATCACAAAAATCTGCCAAACAGATAGCACAGCCTGAAGACGATGAAGATGGAGAAGTAGTACCTGAGTCAGCGTAAGTTGAAGTAGGCAAAGCCACCATTTCCTTCTTCTTTAGGCCTGAATTAAGCCGGCGTGAAGCTACCCATTGGACCGGTTCAGTGAGGGTGCGATTCGTGCATTGAAAAACACAGTGTAACATGGAATTGAGACCAAGAGCACACACAAAGGCACAAAAGATTGCTGCCAAGATTACCATAAAGTTGAGATGATGAGTGGGTTGGAATTGATCATGATTAGGGTCTTGATCACAAAGTGTTCTTATTGAGATGGGACTGGGAATTGGAGGAGGGGGTGTTTGAGCCATAGAGATAGATATGAAAACTGAAGTGGTGGAGAAAATTGTAAACTTATGTAGTAGTAGGAAGATGGAGATATAAGTTTAATTAGTGGGAAGAAGGGGCATGAACATAGTTTTGATAGTACATGCTGAAAGGGAACGTAAATTTGAGGGAACATATAAAGAAAAGGCTATGGCTTAGTTAATGTAGGGTGTGGAGAGCAATGTGATTTTGGACATATGCAAAATACTTGGCTCATTGAAAAAGTTCTCTTACTAGACAAATTAGATTTGACCTGTATACATAAAGTTTTTTGTTGTGACCTTAAAACATATATGTATAAGATTGTGATTTGCGATTAAAGAAAATATAACTCTTGATATTGAAGAAGCCAAACATTGTTTTATAAGAAAAATAGTCCTTAATTAAGAGAACTTGCATGACATAGATTCACCGTTACATGACTTCTCATGCCCATAACACAAAGACATTTTCTTCTATAATTAGCACATACATTATTGTGACGGTAAACCTGTGTCGTACAAATTGTTCTCCTCAATTAATGGAGCGTGGGGAGAGTAAGGTGATGGATGAGGAAAATGGTGGCATGTTTGGATATGCTTGCTTGGCAATCCACTGTCTTCTTCTCTTTTGTTTAATGCGCTTCAAACCGTACCAATTCCTATTGGTTGCTTGTTTCCCACCAACTTGCAAGTAGTGGACAACACGTAATTTTGGAAATGTAAATTAACTCTACTAAAGACCCGAAACAATTGGATATGATTAGACCAATCTCCTTCTAACTTCTTGGCAAAATCTGAATGAACTACCTATGAATCTTTTCCTGTGGTCGTTGATTGAATTAATGCAATATTTTTCTTTGACAAAAGATCTGATATGTAAAAAAGAAAATTCAACAAAATACTGAGTTGTGTCATTATAATAGGACGTATTGAACTCATTGCGTATATTATCGTCAATCCCATTTCAACAATTCATATACAACTTTGAGCGATACAGTAAAAGCATTTTCTTTTCTCTTCTTAATTGATTTATGTATAGGATTCCATTCTCTTGCCAAAAACCCTACATAATGGAGAGAGAGTTGGAGAAGTGACAAACCCCTATACTTTTCATTTCAAAACCAATAAACCTGAAAAAGATATATTTTTTGTGAAAGAAATTTTTGCCGTACAAAAAATAGCATTTGTGCTTTTATGTAAGTTAAATTTGAAACAACATCTGACTAAATGAAGATAACCACCACTAAACCAATGTTAATTGATTGAGATACCGGACCTTTTTGAATGAGCTTGACTTAAGTTGAGTCACAATTGAAGTAAAATTCTAAGTCTTCCGACCGAGTTGATTGCATAACATGTTTCATGTAATTATTAGATGAATTATGAAAAAAGTGACTATTGACAGCATTTCTTATATATATATATATATCGGCTAAGCCACACAATGAGTAATCTAATTTGGTGTTGAATTCGTCATCCACGAGATTCAAACCTAAGACCTGTCACTTTTAAAAGAAGAGAAATATCATCATATCGTAATATTGAGTGACATCATTTTGTATATTAGATACACATTACCCAAATAAAGTTCGAAGTGAATAAAATAACACAGCTGCGCGCGTGCAAATAGTAGCATCAACACAATCATCAGTATCTTAAGCGTAAAGAAATCGCACAATAAGTATGCTCAATGTTGGTGTAATTGGAAAAGAATACACTTTTGTTGTTTTCTGATTAATGCTGATCTTTGTTTCTGTAGTTTGGGCATCCCAATTCGGAATTAACTTGGCTACTGAATGAATGAGAGGAGTTCCTCTTAAGATGCATTGTTATCAATTAACATGATTTTGTTTTTATGATCAAAATTCTTCATATTATAAATTAATTTGAAAATATAATTTCTGCACAAAATCGATAAAATGTGAGATCGTTTAGTCATTGAACTGTATAAAAACAAATGGTCGGATACTGTAAAAATATTATGAACCGTCTATCTATTTGCTATAATTGATTGACTAAACAATTTTATTTTAAATTGACTTTTGCAGAGATGATCTTTACAGAGTAATTTATAATATAACAGTTTCGATTATAAGCACGAAGTTTTGTAAAGCTGTTACAAAATATATCAAGAGGAACTCCTCTTCATTCTCAAGGAGTCAAGCTTTCCTCTCCCAAGTCCTTTTCCCAACTTCTACAAATTTATCATTTAAAAATGTTTTTATCTTTTCTAATTTAGCATGTCTTTTTCTTTATAGTATTCTAATTAGGGTAGGTGCCTTGGTAATTCAGCCAATCTTGACAATTAACTGGTCAAGGAATTAGAGTAATCCAAGAAGAAGCATCGCAATGACTACTTTACCTTTGACATATATATTTTCATTTGAATTAGGGTTTTTATCACAAATGGTCCTTGAAATTGACCATAATCATTAAGATGATCCCTAAAATTGAAAATCAATCAATGTAGTTCCTGAAAATAGATGTCGCAAATCAATGTGGTCATTTCGTCACAATTATGTTAAAAATTCTGTTAAATACTGATGTGACACATAAATGGGCCTCATAAGTAATTTTTTCTCACAAATGGTCCTTGAAATTGATCTACGACATCAAAACGGTCCCTAAAATTGACCCGTGACATCAAAATTGTCCCTAAAATTGAAAATTGATCAATGTAGTCTCGCAAGTAAGTGTCTCAAATCAATGTAGTCCTTCCCAATTCTGTCAAAAATTCTATTATGTGCTAATTGACACATAAATGGGTCACAGAAGTCTAATTATATTTAAAAAAAATTTACAAATACGCTTAATAATTTAATAGTTAATAAAAAATTGTCAACCCAAAAACCCAATCCTACAATCACCTCTGATCTCAGTCCACATTTCTCTACCTCATTCGCTCTCTATTCTCTAGAAAAAAATCTCAATACACTCATCTTTACACACTTCGACACCCTTCACCGAATTGAACTTGGATTGAGATCACCCTTGGTGATGGCTTGGCCCATTGGCAATGACTTTTGGGATATTACCGTTAATATTTAGGCGATCAACATCTTCATAACCTAAATCTTGGAGAGCTTGTTAGGCACTTCCCTGGTGGTCTGGTGATGCAAAGAACGACGAGGTTTGCCTTGAGATAATAAGGTTATAACCAAGGGGCGTCTATTATTGGTTGAAAACTATTTCCATATCCCCTCTTAGGCCTTGGTTAAGCCTTGTGCCTTTGAGAATTTATGGAAGGGATATCTCTTCGGAGTAGGCCTTACTATAAAAAATAAAAAAAAATCCATTGTGCAAAAGTGTATTTAGATAACCTTTTTTAATTAATTATTAAACTCATATCAGCTAGGGGTGGGCAAACGGGTAGTGGAACCGCAGGTTGGGGCGGGTAATCTAGGTTCGGGGTGGGTACAGGGCAGTTCCAATTTTTTTGGAGAGTAAACGGGGCGGGGCGATGACAATTAAGGTTCGGGCCCGAGTCCAAATATTGAGAAGAACGGGCCCCTGGACCGGCCCAGCCCGTTTCTTAGTCCATCATCTAGGATCCAATCCCCCAGTCTCCTTAGCTACAAACTCAAGACTCAAAAGATCTCAATATTATCCTTGCAACCTGCCACCGCTTCCATAGTCCCACTCCACCACTATATGCGTGACCCCAATGGATTTCTCCAACTACAACCCAACCCAGATGGCAAGAAGCTCCACATGTTATACAGAAGCAGTCCCTTGAAACCTCGTCACCACCGCCGCCCTGAATAAACCACCAATCCCCTGAATCACTCATCCAACACCCCCCTAAGACTCTTTCTCGTCTTCTCCCACCCACAGACTATGTGTCACTCGTCTTCTCCTCCTCGACCTCGACGACATTAAACTTAGAACCGCCGCTGCTGTCGCACCACCCATCTCTTGATTCTCCTCCTTAACGAAGACCCCCATCATCAGCACCTTGAGATGGTCAAACACCACCATCGTCAGCGCCATGCGAATCAAAATCGACCAACATGCCCTCTGTTCTTAGTCTTCCAGTATCTCCTCTCAGATCTTAATTTTCCGCAAGATTGGGCGTCTAGCCTATCTGGGTTTTCATTAATCTGCAGGTACCGTATGGTGGGAAATCTGAGATGGGTTTTTGTTTCTTCTTTTTTTTTTTTTTTTTTTTTTTTGAATTTGTTGTGGAGTTTAGACTTTTTTTGAATTTGTTGTGGAGTTTAGACTTTAGTCTCATCCTTCTTCAATTTTGTTTCTAATGTTTAGATTAAGGAAAAATTGAAGGACAATGTCTCTTGCATGTTGTTATCTGTGTAGGGATCTTGCAATCGAAGGGTATAAACCCAGATCCCTTTTGTTGATCTTGAAAAGGAACTAGAGACAAAAGTGATTGATTTTGTTGATTTTGGATAAATGGTGCCATGATTTTATATGTATGGATCCACAATGGGAAGTGCATACAAGGCGGTGATGGAGTTCGGGTTTATCGTGACGGTGAAGCAGCTGAAGGACTTGAGGAGGTACTTGAGGATGGAGGAGACGTAGACTTGCTAGGGAAGCTAAGGCACCCACATTTGAACCCGTGGGGACCCGTAGGAACAGGCCTGTTTCAAAAGGGCCGGGTTAGGTCCGAATACCATTTTGAAAAATCCAAAACCCGCCCCACCTTGCCCCGTTTTATTTACAAACAGGTCCGGTCCGGTCTTGTTCCTTCAATTTTGGGCCCGGCCTGGCCCATGCCCACCCCTAATATTAGCACATAACAAATTCTTTCACAGAATTGTGGCGGAAATATCATATTGATTTGCGACACCTATTTTCAAGGACTACTTTGATTAATTTTCAATTTCAGGAACCATATTGATGGGGTGTGTCAATTTCAGGGACCATTTGTGATAAAAACCCGTATATCTTGTGGGGCCCATTTATGTGCCACATTAGAACTTAATGGATTTTTTAACAGAATTGTGACAGGATGACTACATTGATTTGCGACACATATTTTCAAGGACTACATTGATTGATTTTTAATTTCAAAGATCATCTTGATGGTGAGACTCAATTTCAAAGACCATTTGTGATAAAAACCCTTTGAATTATGAGCTATACAACACCATAAACTTAAGTTATAAACACTACGAAATTTCAAAAATTTGAGAGTACTGATTGCTGTGAGTGTTTTATTTAGGGCTGGAAAAAAATCCCAAAAATCCCAAACCAAACCAAAAAAATCCCGATCCCAAACCAAAATTCCCGAAGTTTTCGGGATGTAATCCCGAACCAAACCGAAATTTTCTGTATGGGATTCGGTATTGCATCTCCATTTTTCGGTATTCCCATACCGAACCGAAAAAAAAAATATATATATATATATATATTATTTTTAATTATAAGAATTATTTCAACCGTTGATTATTTTGGATTTAATCTGTGCCGTTGATTTGTTTTTAGGTCAGATCCAAATGGTACTCTTTCTTTCCTTTCATTTGTTTCCTCCATCCATCGAAGTGATCTGAGTCTGACTGTCTACCACCACCGGCCCTCATCTCTCATCTAGAAGTGATCTGACTGTCTACCACCACCGGCCTACCACCACACAGCCACCGCGCGCTCTCTCTCTCTCTCTGTCCGCGCTCTGCCCTCCAAATATTTCACTCACTTTCGCTCCCGCTCTCTCTCTCTCTCTAGAAGCCGAAAAATACATTCACCAGTAAGCGCTCTCTCTATCTCCATATCTCTGAGCTAACTCTGGTTAGCAACATTTCTAGGTTTTTGAAATTTTTGTTTTGTACGAATTCTTATTTTCTGGGTAATTTTATTCCAGCTCCGTGGCTTGTTCGAATTCTTATTTTCTGAGATTTATTTTGGCTGTTTGGTCCTCCAGCTCTGGTTCTCCGATCATGCATTTACTTAGATTTGTATTTTTTGTTTTGTTTGGGGTTATCATTTTTGGATTTTTTGTATTTTATGTATATGTTTGGATTTTGGTTGATTTTATTGTGCACTGTGAAAATAAGAAATTGATGGGAAACTCACTGATTATTCCGTCTAATTGATGGGAACTCACTGTATATGTATATGTTTGGATTTTGGTTGATTTTATGTATATGTTTGGATTTTGGTTGATTTTATTTTGGTTGATTTGATTTTGTTTGGGGTTATCATTTACTTAGATGTATGTTTTACAGCTGTTGGATATTAATCACTTACTTTCTGATGCAGGGTGTTGGATAGATTTGTACACAGATTTGACATGTTCTACTTCACTATTGCTACATCCACTCAGCTGCTCATTTAATCCTACAGCAGCAGCTGCCCAAAATTGTTTTTTGTTGAATCAGGTTAAGCCCATATGGGCTATGGGCTGTTGAATTGACTACACAATTGGACATATTCATTACTGGGCTGGGCGGACAGATTCTGGGCATGGCCCAATATTGGCTTTTTGTCCAAAAGCCCAAAAGCCCAATAGCATTTCGGGATTCCCGATTTGTCCCGAAATCCCGAAACTATTTCGGGATTCCCGAAAATTGGGATTCCCGAAAATTTGGTTTGGGATCGGGTATTGAAATTGGGATTCCCAAAAATTTTGGTTTGGGAATCGGGACAAGGGTTTCGGTATGGGATCCCATACCGAACCACCCCTAGTTTTATTCACTCATAGTTGATCTCCTTTCGTAAAATTAAGATACCCCTCGCGGGTTGATTTTGATACTCCAATGACGTTGAGAAAATTTCTATTTCGTTTGTCCGTCATGTAATGAGTTAAGATTAGTTTATTTCATAAAGGGGAAAAAAGGATTGTCCCACTATAAATCTCATTTTTCTTTCATATATTAATCAATGAAAAGTATTATTACAAGCAGTAAATGATTAAACTTATGCATCGAACTTCTGATCTGATTAGATATATTAATCTACTGGTGAACAACCAGAGAACCACAGCATTTACAACCTTTTCACTCTCCACAACCACCGCATTGTTCAAGATATTTGTCACAGCATGTGCTGTAAACTTGGTGTCCCCTTTTGTATAAAACGAGTACTGAAAACCACTAATCCTGTTGGGAAAGACCAACACAGATGAAAAATCAGCCGTCCATTTCGTCCCATTGCCCTCCACATTCAACCTTCCCACCGTTGATTTCAAGGTCATCCCATTCACATTGTTCTGATCAATCACCACCTGATCAATATCCCCGAATTGCCCCTCTAACTGGACCATCGGCACTTGTGAGCCTCCCCCTGTAAACATATTGTTTACAATATTTAATCCAAATATTTTTCCATTGACAGATTTCAACACTATATTTGCACCACCTAAGAAGAATCCATTTGTGACATGTACTTGCACCGGATCTTCCATAACTATAGCATTATAATCCAGGTAGCAATTATCCAATCTGGTTTGTGAATTTCCTGCTAATTTTACCAAAATGCCTATGCCTCCAAACCCTGTGGCCTTATTGTAACAATGTACACCAGTGACCATGTTAGCCTGGCCCCTCAGAACAACACCAATAGCAGCTGAGAATATTACCACGTCAGTTATGGCATTGTCATTGCTGGCTAGGTCAATGGCAGTCCCCGTAAATTGCCGCTCGCCGCTGTCACCACCAACCGTTGAGTGTTGCCCTAGGAAGGTGTTTGATATGTAGGTCTCATGGCCCTTTTGAACCAAAATGCCTTCTGTTGTGAAGTGGAGGAAGAAGCAGTTGGTTATTCGGATTCGGGCTGAATCGACAATGAAAATGCCTCCTCCTCGGAAGCCCGAATCGAAGAGAACGTCTCGGAATGTGATGTCCTCGTAGTAGATTGCTTCATTGTTTTGGGCTTCATTTGTGAAATAATTATTGGCGATGGAGGATTTTTGTTTCTGTTTTTGGGAATTTTGTGACCATAGTTCAATGAGATGGCGGTCCCCTGGAAATGTGGATGAGGCACGAAGGGTTCCTCCTCGTACCTATAGTTTGAGACCATATAAAATATTTTCATGTCCCCGAAAAAACATGAATATCTAAGAAAAGTAGCCAGATCGTTCGAGTAAATATTGGGTGCACATGAACGCATACAGCCCTATTGATAATATATTATAAAAGCAAAATCTATTTGCTGTATTTAGGAGAATCTTCTTTGTTAACCAAAGACTGACGAAGAGCCTTTGTCAAACTTTCATATATAAAAAGAGAGTTTAAATTGTTAAACAGAGAGGAAAACTTACTTTTATTTCACTTTTAGATGTAACAAGTTGAATAATAAGATTGAATTGTAATGGTAAATTAATTTCTATTAAACTCTTGCGTCACATATGTGCGTTATACTTTATGAATAAATTTTTTAATATTTGTACATTGAAATATGTGGCCGTTAAATCCTTAAGTTAGAACCTAATCAACATCAAACGACAAAAGATATCGGAAAATATAAAATAAAAAAATAAAAAAATAAAAAAAAACAAAAAAACCCTCCCAACATCTAAAACAAGGATCATGGGCAAAGTCTAAACCAGAGTTCATTTTTAATCAAGCGAAGCTTCTTCCTGACAAGTGACAACTACAACGTCTGCACTAATGTATCATCGAAAATTGAAGTTGAATTAATATAAAATTGAATCTGTTGGGGTTTGCATTTGGTGGGTGCATTACTCCAAGCTTTTAATTTTCAGGACGGAGAGGTTGGAGAGTCGATTTCAGTTGAGAAAAAACTTTAACTGGACTATTACTACTTAACCTAATAAAGCTCTATGTGTGAGTGTGCATCCATGCACGAAAGCTGGTGCACAAACTACAACATGGCAACGTGGGAGTCACCCATTTGCCAAAGTTTTATTCTTTTTCTGTAAGTAGCTTTATTTACCGGCCACGATGAGTTTTCAATATTTTATTTCTCATTGGTAATTTTTCATTTTACTTTTTCACGGTCTAATTTTTACGAAAAGAAAGAACAAAAAAACAAAATATTCTTGAACTTGTTTTGTTTGTATGTTTTGTTTGTACCCGATGACACAGATATGCAGTTGAGATTCTTGAACTTGTACGACGTGATGACACAGACAATATGAGAGAGATAAAGGGAGCGAAATTACTGACCACAACATTGCCACCACCTGACGGAAAAATCAAAGGCTGGCTAATTTTGTAATTTCCACCTTGCAGATCAATGGTAACTCCTCCCAAGTCAGTGATTCCAGGCAGCAATTCAAGCTCAGATTTCAACTGAAAAGCTTCCTCCACTGCTTTGAGTAGGGCAGCTGTGCTGTCCTCCTCACCAGTCGGGTCTGCCCCATACCCGATTGGGTAAAACACCCTCCCATTCTAATCATACATAACCCACATTAATTAGTTAATTAATCAACCTGAACTTAATTCAGATACAATGAAATTAAAATAAAACAAAACTGCATGAACATTGTAATTTTTTACCACTGTGACATTTGAAGCTGCAGAAAATGAGAAAGTGGATGGTTTTTGTTGGAGCTTTGTTGCTTGTGCTTGGAATGCTGATAGCATTTGAGGCCTGTAGGAACATGAAGCTTCTTCTGCTACCAACAACAATAACAAGAAGAAAAACAATGCTGCTGATGACATCATCATATTTCTCATTTTTCCTTGCTCTGAACAACTCTTTCAATGGGGCCTTCCTTGAGTGAGAGAGTTGGGGGGGGGGGGGAATGTCAGGTTTTTTTTTGGGTCTTTTGGTCTTTGGAATTTTGAGTCTCTTGAGCCTTGGTAAATATACGTTACTTGTTCCTATTTATATATAACTTTGGTGTTGAGCCTAATAGAAAAAGGTTTAGGCATATTTTAATAAGTTGAAAAATAAGGAGAAAGGGAACAAAATTTCAGTCTTTTTCTTTCTCTCCCTTTCGGTTGTTACTTAGTTTAATGGTTGTTATTATCTGTCATCATATTTGTTAAATTCTTTTTTTTTTAATGTTAAAGTTTGTATGTTATTTACCACCATTTGCTTTGTTGGTGAAATTTTTTTAGCAACCTTTACAAGCAAGAATTGATGAAATATCATCCATTAATTAATGTTTTACTTACATGATATGAAGATATATATGAATGAATGAGGTAATAGAAGGAATAGGGCTGTGGATGATTGCGTATGATATGATCAAAATATCATCCATTAATTAATGTTTTACTTACACGGTATGAGAATATGAAGGAATAAGGTATTTGAAGGAATAGAGCTGCAAATGACTAGGTATTGATATGATAAAAAATTTATCCACTAATTAATGTTATGGTATGAGGATTTGAAGGAGTGGGGTATTAGAAGGAATATGGCTATGAATGATTGGATGATCGATATGATGAAATTTTCATCCACTAATTAATGTTTTACTTACGTGTTTTGAGGATATGAAGGAATGATGTATTAGAAGGAATATGGATGTGAATGATTGAGTATGAGATAAACATACTCAAAATTGATGGGACTCACATAATTATGCATATTCCTTTTGTGTTAGTATACGCATGAGTAAGAAACATACTCATACGTTGTAAGTAAACATGCCATGATTAGAATGTAAGTCTCTTCGCCAATGCAAATCGACATAATATTAATCTGGCATTGCAAAGATGTAAAATCTATGCGTTTCTTCTTCTATAAATAATTTAAGGGGTTCTTGAACTTGACATCAATTTTAATAATTTAAAACTAAATACCACTCGTCTAAGAGTTGATTACTTCAAATTAAGCATTTTAGTTGATCAAAGAATCATAGTTAAAGCGTCTGGATACAAATCTTTAAGTACATTTTGCCGTTTCAACATCCGAATCCTCTTTCTTATCCTACATTCCAATTTCCAACCATATATTCCATAAGCATAAAGCACGTGTTGACAACCAGCTTAGCTGTAGGAAAGAGATGATCAGAACCGATCCTGCAAAAACCCCTTTGTTTTAGTTAGTTTTGCTTGTCCTTTCTTTCTCGTTTTTTGCTGCATGGAAAGCAAAGCACTAAAGAGAGGCCTTTTACACTTTATTTCACAGAAAAACACAGAATAAGTTGGCTTTCGATTAATTAGGACCACTAAGCAGGTGGTTGAGACACTTGTATTCTATGCATTTGCTATTTCTTGTGCGGTTGTGGGCATGGATAAATTTTTGTGCATACCCGAAAAATCGTCACGTGGTACTATTGTTTTATTTGTTATAATATGAGTAACCGATAAAGTTGATATATTCCATTTGTAGATTAAAATTAGAAACTATTATAACATTGCGTGGAGATGTTACAAGTATACTAAAAAATTACTCGTGAGCATTGAGGAGTTGGTGATGTATACCATAAAAAGCTTAGTGTTGTGACAGTATCATACATAATGTACTTAAATGCACATTGATGAAAATTAACTCACATTTAAGTTAATTTTCAGGTTTAGTCCACTGACTCTACTCTTGCAATTATGAGTCCCATGTTCACAAGTTGGTTCGTGACCCATATCTTCATCAGTGTGCATTTAAGTACAGCATGTATGATGCTTGTCTATGATTGACAAACTTGTGCTTGAATTTATGATATATAATTTGGTTATGACGGTGCTTTAGTGAACAAAATGTTTATTTTAATTTCTCAATATTGTTTAGCGAGACAATCTGATATATTATGTTTAGAGTTCAGGTGGTGAACATTGATTTGTTAGGTTAGGATAATAGGATTAAACGTTTGATAAGTGAATATTATCGGTTTTAACATATAAGTATGCATGCAAAATCGCACCAAGTTTTGCTTGATATAAGTAGGATAGTGTTATTCACACACCTATTTTTACTTCACAAACACCTTTTTTATATTATAGTCATTGATCATCTTCAGTTCATTCGAGTTGACAACCGAAAATTGAAAAGGGTGTGTGAGAAGTAAAAATAGATATGTGAATAAAACTACCTATAAGTATATGTTTTTTTCATTTGAGAGAAATGAATTCTGCACCGTTTTTCACCTTATAAAGATCAACCTTTTATGCTTTCATCATTGAATTGAACAAATCAAAAGAGACTTAGAGCGAAAATTCAATAACGAGAATTAAAAAGAGTGTAGAAAGTAATAAATGGCATGTATCAATCACTTCTCTTTTTTCTCAGATGAGGATCCTCTCCAGACCCTCTTTGTGGGGATCCAGGGATCAATCAATCGTGTCCGTTTATCGTACATCGTGCGATCAGTTTTCGTTAAGTACTACTTATATTCAATTTTAAATTCAAAATTCAAAATAATTTCTAACCACATGATATACGATAAACGGACTCGATTGATTGATCATTCAGATCCCCACAAAGAGGATCCTGAAAGGATCCTATTCCCTTTTCTCTATGTACACGACGTTTTTTCTTCGTCGGTTAAGATAAGCATTTGGACCGATAACAGATAAATAAAGGGTTAAATAGATCGGACGGTGAAATTATGTACTCCTGGATGTGCCGACAATTATGAATTCCCAATTCTTTATTTATTTGGGCCTAACTTCTTGTCAAGTTAGAGATCCTTATCAACTTTAGTTAGGATATAGCCCAAACAATTTTGGGCCTCAAAATCCAGGATCACATATATGGAAGGTATTTGGATAAAAAAAAAGGAAACTTTAACGAAAAACACCCGGTACTGTTCACTTTAAAGAAAAACCACATTTTTACACTAAAAAGTCAATCCTGGTACTATTCATTTTACCCTTTATTTTGTCCTTATCATTAAAACTCAAAGTTTTCAAGCCATTTTCATTAGTTTTTCTTAAAAAAAAATCTACCAAAAAAAGTCAAGAAAAAAAGAACGTAGAAGGAAAGTATTGAAACACGCAAAGTCTAATTGATATCAAAGTTAAGGAATATGTACCTCCTCTACTCTTGTCCAATTCACAATCAGAGACAATAATTGTAAAAGTTCCTGCATCTCAATTATAGTGTAAAAATTTAACGAGAATGATTTATCTTTTGAGTAGAAGACAAGTGAATCAGAATTGAGATCACACTTTCAGAATGAAGCTTGAGAAAAGTTTTCGCCGTTCAACGTGTTGATCTTACGCAGAATACAAGAGGTTAGAAAAGTTTGAAAATTTTGCATATCTCCAACTAGGCAAACTCCACGATCAGTCACAATTCTATTAGGGCTTATTTGATGCTTGATTTTATTCTTAGTTTTTGGTTTTGAATTTACACATCAACTACTTGAGTTATATTCTCTCAATAAATCTTCAACGGTAACATTAAGGGCTGGTTTTGTATTGCTGTGCTTTGAAAAAAAGCTGCTGTGAGAATAAGTGACTGTGCTGTGAGAATAAGCGGCTGTGAAATAAATCAGCAGAGTGTTTGGTAAACTTTTTTGTAAAAGTGCTTTTGAAAAAAAAAAAAAAAGCAGTCTGATAGTGGGTCTTTTCATTAAAGGAGCACTGTAACTCCGTGTGCTATGAAAAAAAACCAGTTTTCCAAAGCTGCAAATAGCAGCTTCAGCTTTTTCCTTTGATTTCAGCTTATTCTCACAGCAGCTTTCAAAATAAGTTTTTTTTTTTCAGTTTACCAAACACCTAAAACTCTCACTGCTTTTTTTCATGGGTGCTTTTTTTTTTAAGCACCTCACTCCCAAACCACCCCTAAGTCTCTATTCTCTTATTTGAAAAGTCCATCAGTAGTTAATAGTAATTGACTAAAATGGTAAAAAAATTAAAGATCTTGATTGCCCAACTAATTATACGTTTTTAGTGACTCATCATATCATCTTAGTAAACCCACTATTTCACTCCTATAGATTCATTTTTTTTTTTTTTTTTTGAATTGGTTGGTTTAACACTTGGATGTTGTAGAATCATTAAAACGATCAATTTTTCAAAAATATTTGCCCAAGCATCGAGGTCCTGTGTTCGACTATCTATTCAAAAAATAAAACATTGACGAATGAGTCATGACTAATGGCCAACCACCTTCGGCATATATATAGAAAGATTAGTTCCACTATCTATTCAAAAGCTTGGACTTTTGGCCATCTCTGCTTCCACTCCATGCAACTTCTACCTGACATTTGTTTATATAATCCCTTATTATTATGTGTACACGTCCACACCCACGCTATCACATTGTCATGTTTCTCATAACTGCATGTAAAATATCGTCACTAGATTATGAAATGAGTTTACTTTCACGTGATGTTCCATTCCACATAAGTTGCTCTCGTTTGATAAATTCTCTAAAATTGTTTCTGAATGATTTTCAATCCCTTGTCATCTCTACTTAATCATTTAATATTTTGACTTGTGTTGAAATGTTATTGTCACGTGTAACAAGAAAAGCCTTTTATTTGATTCGTCAATTTCTGGTACACAAATTCAGCAATGAACTATATTCAAAACATGACCTTTGACAAAGCAACAAGACATTGTGGCCTAAGTTTTACAGATGTATCGTATTTGGTTTATTTCTTTAACTCAAACTACTATTACAAGTTACAACATGTATATGAATATATTTATATATCTTCTGTGGTATAATTAATAGTAAAATCATGACTAAAAAAAGGTAAATGATAAAAAAGAAAATGGCAAAATGCTGCCATCTTCCCCAACCTATTCACAATTTGTCCAGTCAATAATCTTGACACAAATTTAGGTCAGCTAGCTTTCAGTTTGCCACTCCTTGATCAACTGTCACAAAAACAGAAGCCGGAACCGCCACATTCGACTCGATTACAACACGGTTATTCGACAT